TGATAAAGTGGAGACCTTTTTGACAGTTTAATTATTCCAATCTTTAAGTCTAGTGACAGAAGCAATACTATTAATTACTGTCCAATTTCAATATTAAGTAATATTCCGAAACCTTTTGAATCCATAGTGTCAGATAAATTGAAACCGTTAATCTGTCCTTCTCTGTCCGAAAGACTATTTGGTTTTATTTAAGAAAAGTAGTATTGATGCAAACCTTGTATATTATGGTCAATACATCTTAGAGTCACTCGAAAAGAATTGGCAAGTCGATATCTATACAGATTTTAGCAAGGGCCTTCGAGGCAGTGAATCAAATTTTACTGTTACTGAAACTTAAGTCTTTGGGAATAACTGTCAAGTACTGGATTGGTTCTTTAACTTCTTAGTGGATAGAAAGTAATGTGTGAAATGTAGGGACTTTATATCTAACTTTTTCTGTTTTTTAAGGAGTACCTCAGGGCTCACACATCCATCCTTTGCTTTTTATAACGTTTATTAATGAGATTTACATCTAGTTCTTGATAATGAGGTAAAGTTCCTATTTTTTGGTGACCCATGGGACAGGGTGGCCCACGTGCTCCAGCAACTCCATGTGGAGTTGAGTGTAGAGGCTTGAAATGAGACGTTACCTGTATGATTATTAGTAAGCCCTGATAAAGAAATTAAAAATGTTTCTCTACCTACATTGACCAATCCCGATTTTAATTCTTTATTTTAATTTGTTATCTTGATTTTTGTACTTGTACATGCTTGTCATTACGGATGCTTTTTTTTCTTCTTCTTTTTTTTCTTTTATCAGCATCCCGTTTATTTCAATAAATAAAACAAAACAAAAATCAAAAAAATAATAATAATGAAGTGTTAATATTTATTTTCAGTGTAATAAATTTCGACTACTTTCAATAATTACGTCACTATCTATGCCGTGAATATCACCTGTTCCATCGTTATATAATTCTTCATCACTGTCATTCAAAAATTTGGTCACCCACTCAGCAAACTCTTCAGATTCCACAAATATTTCATTCCGAACATCTTGTGGCAGCTATGATAGCAGTCAACAACATGATCCCATGTGTTTACAAAAACATTCAAAGATAACGCAATATCGATGGTAAACGATCAGTATTGTGCAAGGAACTTTGACAAGCTTCAGGTCACATTCTGTAATAAAGACATGACAGCCCCTGCCATTCCTCTGGTTAGAATGACCAGAGGAGACCGAGGACGGGCAGTGCCCCTCTCGAATGGGTTAATATTATGGAAACACGTTATGTTTTTATCACCTTCGAAGCTTATTGTTATGTCTACATTTACAAGTTTCCTGACATGGAAAGGCAATGTAAAACATAAATTATACCCGATGAAGCTTAATCTGCAAATATAAGACAACCCCGTATAGTACAAATTAGATATTTAGGATAAAGCCACATCTTATATGGTGTGTGCATGAAGCTTCCAGAAATTAAAAAAAGAAGATATTTCCATTACCTGCTAACATGATGAAAACAAGTCTTGGTAAACCCAACACTGTCTCATCATAAGTGAGTTTTATCTGGACTTTGACAAGTAAACTGCCTGCAGGAACAACAACCAACTTTGTTGTAGGCAAATAATGTTTAGCAGACACAAGTAGTGTTCGACTTCCTTCCAAAGCAGGCCGCCAGAAACCACCAAGAGAATCTGTAATCACTGTGTGATTGGTACCCTCTAATGTTACATGAGCCCCTGGCAGAGGTGTACCATCCTCATTAGTTACAAATCCTGTAAGAACAAATAATATAAAATTATATTATTTCCATTTGCACATAACTGATTTCATATTTGTAAGTCTGTTAAACTATTTGTAACATTAGAACAGGAAACATGATACTTGTTCATATCAGACATCAAGACAACATGTTTTACAGATAATTAATGTTTCTACTACATTTCACTAGTGCTTGTGCATATGGTGCTTGCAAAATTAAGGCACACATTTTAGGGAAAATGCACTAAGATTGTGGTATGACTACCAAACTACATTTTTAGGATTCTTAGTCCCACGTGTGGTGTCATGCTCCCTGAAGTGAACAACTGAGCAGTGCCAGTAATGTTTTTTGCCATGGTACTTATGAAAGAAGGGCATTAATTGTACAACTTTTCTTGAAGGATGGCTTGGAGAAATGTGGGTAGAGAGGGGGGTATTAGTAATAAAAGTGGCCATTAGAGTTTCTGAAGCAATGTCAATCACAGGAGTCAAAACTGCATACCTAAACTAAATTGAGTATGTTAAATTAGTTTCCTTATGCACTAACAGACATTTCTGGAGAATTTAGAGGACTACTGGCTCTATTAGGCTTGATTTTCTATATTGTTGAAATGCTTGCTCCAGTGTAAGCAGACATCTGATCCAAAGTATTACAAAGAGGATACATTAGAACCTTGCTTCATTTTTCTAACTCGATTGTCTTCGCAACTTTCTTAAAAATTCTGCATTTGCCACTCTTACATGTTTCTCCTAATTTTCTGAGAAATTCAAAGTGTCTGCTGTGAAGGACCTGGATCTGCCTCAGACATTTTCTTAAATATTTTATGTCAAAAAATCTCAAACATGAATTCTCATGCACATCTACATATCGGCTTCTGTTCCACACCAAAGAAGATGTTATGTTGAGAATATTGTGTTCACTGCTCATTGTGAGCATTCATCTTCAATTGTTTATTGGACATGGAAGCTGGAAAGTGGGCCATTGTTCAAGAGAAGTTACGCAAATAGTACAAGCTCTGAGAAGCCTTTCTGGTTAGGAATGGAAACAAAATTAGTCCTACACGGATTAGACTGAAAATGTAAAATTTGATCAAATAGATTTAAAAGAAACATAAAATGTCTCGGAGAGACACAAACAATTTACTAGAAAAGTGTGGTGAATATAATAATATTAATAATAATTATAATAATATTATCCACATGGCCCGTGTGATTTTTTTCGACAAAGAAATGTAGCTCAACCAAAAATAATGTGACATACTAAACACCATTAAAATAGGATTTTGAATATCAGTGAATTGAAAATTATTATGACACAGAAAGTAAAGCATACCTGCTACACCCATTTCTACAGCATTCAGAAGCTTCAACAAAGAAGGCTTATGCTGGGCCCACACTTCAGGAATATGAGTGACAGGGGGAGCAGCACAGCAATCGACATAGATGTCCAGAGGAAGGGCACTGCTTTTCAAATAAGCATAATCCTGCAAGCATATATTTCATAACAAATTTCTCAGTTTGTAAATCGTCAATCACATAAAAAGAATAATAATAATAATAATAATAATAATAATAATAATAATAATAATAATAATAATAATAATAATAATAATAATTGGTTTTGCATAAAACAATTGAAATAATAGCTTGAGATGTAAGAATGGTAAAAGGAAAAAACACTTATTGATGTTAGCACATTGAATAATATCAGCATATTTCATTTCTATAATAACTTCTTTTATTGGTTTATGATGGTTATGTTGAGAAGGTTGTTATGTGTAAACATGAAATGTACACATGCATATTCAAAAGTGTTGAAATGATAAAAAAGATCATTTCATATAACCCAAACATACACCACTTTCAACCAAGCATTAGTTTTTACAAGACATCAGGCCTTGGTCAAGCCTGAAGTGGACAGGGCAGCAACTCTGAAGCCTTTGCAAATTACAAAACACAAAAAAAAATTGAAACAGAAAAATAGGAAGAAAGGAAGGAAGAGTGAAAGTAGTCCAAAAGGTGGTCAAATGTTGTATATTATCTCTCATTCTTGTAAACAAAAAAGACTATATGAAAATCCTTTGCATTGAGAATTTGCTTGAGAGAGAGGCAACTCAATACTTTCATAGCCAGATAACCCTTGCTGCACTTGCATTATACCATCAGAACCTTTCCTTCTTATCATTGTTTGTTTTTTTTAGATATCGAAAGTTAATTAGATCATCTATCTCTCTTGTTTTTGCCAGTCTTCACATGAGCTTACAGGTACAAGTCACATTTTGACCCTCAGTGTCTACGAGAACAGTAAGGGTCGACAGATCCTACACTGCAATAAACACAAATACAATTAAATTTCTTGGCAACAGATGGTGTCCTACTAACTCTCATTATCTGCTTGGGAGAAAGGAGATCACCATAAAGCTCTTTCAAGATTGCAAATAGTAAGTCCTCCCTCCATGTCAACATTTCCCTTCCTGGGCCAGCAAGATTGGGCTCATTAATCACCAGCAAGATTTGACAGAGGGTGAATGCCATGATTTGACTCACTGGGATGGCCCATCACTTAGAATTGCTGGTAATTCACTCCTCTCCTTGCTCCGCAAGTGCAACTTTCTCAAACTTACTTGCCAATGTGGTTCGGAGCAAAAAAAGCAGTGTAGTGGTATTTTGGTGCTTTGAATGTTGAATTTTTGAACAGAATAATTGGCCTTAAACAACAGGGAAGCTCTTTTAAAGTTTTTTGGGTCAGACAGAATACCTTCAAATTGAAAACTTGTTACCTTTGGTCACTCCCAATAGACAAAGTTATGATTATAAGGCCCGAAGAAAAGGAGGGTGCGAAAGCAAAGCTATCACAGACATGAACAACAAGGAAAAAACGTTTTTAAAAGGTCTAAAAGAAACTGGTTGGTTTGTGGTTTCTTTTAAGCAACGAGCATTACAGGCTATAAATGAACAAGCCCTCAAGCTTACATCTATAAAGAATAGATCTTTTTAATGCATCAATGCCCAGTTTAATAAAACAAAAAGACCTCTTTAATAGAAAGTTCAAAACATTCTTTGCTTTGGCCTCTTACAGAAAAGCATTAAGCTAAAAATGATGAAGGTATGTAAGACAATTACTTTCAACTAGGAAGAGTGGCCAATTAAGTCATACAAAGTAAGAGTTCCGGGAAACTAGCGGCATTCCAAAACTTTTTACTGCTTTTTAGAGTTATGAAATGTATTATTATGAAACACTAATTACGCATTATTATGACACTAAATGTGCTGAGGTGGCAGCTCTTCACTCTACTGGATAGTATTTTTAAATAGATTGCTTAGCATGAACAAACTTTTGATCCCATGAATAAGCCAACTTAAATTTTAATAGGAGAGCACAAAAACCTTTCAACTGAAGGAAATCAGGGATTATGATATTCAAATGACAGTGATATTGAAACAAAAGTATTTGTGTACAGTTTCATTTGAATATCATTAATTCCCCATTTATGGCATTAAGTTTGAAAGTTGTTTTCTCTCCAGCAAAATTAAGTTTTCGGTACTTATCAGCTTATTCACCAGGGTTAAAGAAATTAGGATTTCTCTAACAATGATAATTTTAGGATATTACCGAAACATACAAAAAATATGTTTAGTTCATGTTCCATTCACCTGAGTATTAAGAACACAGAAAGTTTTTGAAAAACACTTATTTACATATTTTTGGAATAATGTCATGATTTACATCAATATTACACAACTAATCATATTTTATAATAATTGTATATAATGTCATTTAAAAATTTAGAATTAAGAGATAAATTACACCAAAAAAATTTCTGGCTTCAATATTGGAGGTATAAAACAGGTTTCAAAAATATTTGAACTTTTGCAATTTTTAAAACTTCATATGTTTAATTGAAAACCAGAACTACACAAAACTACATTTATAAATGCAGAGAAAAAAAGAAAGTTAAAGAAAGACACAAAGAAAAAGAGGAGAAGAAAAGAAACAAAAAGAAAAGAAGAGAAGAAATAAGTTTTCTATAACTCGGAAACGAAAATATTTTTTCAAATATTGCTAATCTTACGATTTTTAAAATTTATTTTTATTTATTTATGTTAAACTTTTACTCATCTTTCAACTATTTATAGCTAAAATGACAGGAAGGAATTCAGGAACTCAAGAAAATGTGCGCAGTTTATCTTTTCCCTCATACGCCACACACAGTTTTTACTGTTTTTTACTAAATAAATCTAATCCAAATAAATCTAATGTTAAATAATGTTTTCAAAAACAATAGTCATTACCATGGAATTGCTCATACTTCTGAAAGCTGGTTGTAGATAATTAATCCGAGACCAGAAACGTGGGTCCATGATTAGAAAATTACAAGACTTACGCAGAACTGTCAATGCAATTACTATTTTAGAAATGTTGTATCACACATATTTCTTTCAACTATTTATAGTTAAAATGACGGGAATGGATTCTGGAACTCAAGAAAACGTGCGCAAATAATCTTCTCCCCCATATGTCACATACAGTTTTTACTGTTTTTTTTTTTTTGACTAAATAAATCTAAATCTAAAAAATGAAACGACTTCAATCCTAGATCAACACTGCAGCTCTCTTCAGTAACGATATTAACATGTTATTTGGTACCGGAAAAGTACTGGAGTAGAGTGACTAAAGTTCAACACAAAATTATCAAGTAAGAACAATATAACAGCCATCAACACCTGGGCCATACCAACATTAACCTACTCTTTTGGAATAATTAAGTGGTCGGATTCTGATTTAAACTTGTTAGACCGAATAACAAGGCGACTGCTCACTAAATTCTGATTTCTGCATCCCAACTTTTCCACAGACAGACTCTATTACGAAGAAAAGTTGGAGGAAGAGGCCTACTGAATACACAACCCCTCTGTCCTAATTATGCTGCAGGTTAATGAAATTGACTTGGGTCACACGCCACTGAATCTTTCTTGTAACACCACGAAAAGCATCCCAAATACACAAGATCAACTACAATCTTGGAAGGGAAAATTGCTACACGGGAAATTCCCCAAACAACTGGAAGAACAACATATTGATAAAGCTGTGTCTCTGCATTGGCTAACAAGTGGATATTTATTCCCAAAGACTGAAGGTTTTGTAATGGCTATCCACGATAAGAGTTCTGCCAACCAGAAACTACAAAAAAAATATTATGAAGATGAATGTGATAGACAAATGCAGAAAATGTGCATCATATGGCGAATCAATTAAACATGTTATGGCGTGCTGTTCGGCTTTATCAGACAACGCGTATCTTGGAAGACACAACCAACTTGGAAAATTGATACATCAATTTGCTGTTAATAATGAGTTGCTTTACTCTTCTACGCCATATTACAAATATTGTCCACCCCCTTTATTGGAAACAAAAAACCATGTGATATATTGGGACCGGACAAAACAGTGGATTATAAGAGACCTGATATTCTCCTCATTGATAAAACCAATAAAACAGCCTCTGTATATGATATTGCAGTTTCTTTGACCCATCACATTAGTAAAACTGAATTAGAGAAGATCAGGAAGTACGAGGAGCTAACAATGCAATTGAAACAAATATGAGGGTGGAGAAAGTTCATATTTATGCCTTGATGATCTCATCAGAAGGAGTAATTTCAAAAATGTTTAAAATAAATTTGAGAAATTTGGAACTACTGATTAAATTGCAAGCAGTTGGACAAAAGGCAGTCTTACTTCAGTCTTGTAACATTGTTCAAAAGTTTTTACAGTAACCTCAAGTGGGATAGGGTGAATTCCCTTTTCATAAGAGCAGAATCTGGTCCTAAGACACCAAAAGAAAGATTACTTTTGCCCAGTTCAACTGAGAACTAAAGATAATAATAACAATAATAAACAATTAAAATTTTATCAAAACGTAAAAGAAATATCAAAACGTTTGGAATCAGTTTCAGAGTCGAAAATCAAATTTGTTTTTTTCCCCCCACCAAATATTGCAATTAAGTTGCAAAGGAGTGAATCATATTGTAAGGGCCCTCACAGGAAGACTTCTCTGGGGCTCCTGCAAGGTTTAATATGACCCTGCATAACATTATGAGCATTCTTTAAAGATATGTGGTATTACTTACAAGAAATGAGCCATGATGTTTATGCCAGGAGCCGGCATTAGCAACCCCATCTTCAAAAACTGCACGTGGTTCACTTGAGCAATTAGGTTTGCCTTCATGCATTAGTGGATATGAACCAAGGTAGGTGCTAGCAAAATACCGCAAAACCTATAACAAAAACAGAGGTGTAGTTTCCTGCGCAAGTCTTAATACAAAAGGTCAGAGTTCCCTTAGATTATTTCTTGAAATCAACTAAATCACACATCTTAACACAATACATACATATCCTATTTCTATTTCCTGTCAATATTTACTCATATTATAAAAAAAAATATATAGAGTTGCAATAAAAGCCAGGATTTCCATGCAATTATGTGTTTATAAGTATGCTTACTACAACACTCAAATTTTGTAGTAATTTCCATGCAATTATGTATTTATAAGTATGCTTACTACAACACTCAAATTTTGTAGTTATGTGCTTCATGGCATTCTCAAAATGTACACTTTTTCCATGCATGTTTGCATACATTTTTTTCTTTTTTATTCTGAGAAATTCATGCACAATGCTTGTTGAAACTCTTTTTGTATAAAATTGCAAATATATAGACCTATCTAGCATATTGTTACAATGCACACTATCCCTCTTATTCATTCTTACCCTTCTTTAATCTATTTAGTTGGCTAGTTTGGTTTCATTCGTTTATTTGGGCACTGTTATACTTACAAATCTCAGGGCTGCTTCCTTCTCACTTTTTTGTGGGCTGAAAACATACCACTCTTACGAGAATTCGGCTGTTGAATGCTTAGATTTATCCTAGGAATTTTTACTAATTTTTCTGGTGGTTAGTTTTGAATAACAACATATCGTGATATTACTGATATATGTGATATTACTGATATATTTACTGATTTAATATTTCAGCAACATTAAGTGTCAGCTGTTAATTTGATTATTACCATTTAACTTCTGTTTCTTTTCTGAAGCAAATTTTGACAATACTTTATACTTATTTACATAAATTATTTCTAGCTAATGATGGCCATCAAACTTTAAAACAACTAATTCTAGCAATCTTTCTTCATTTTAACTCATTTTTATATAACATTCTTAGCCTTGAACATTACTAGCTTTTCTGTACTTATGTATTTCACTTTCCTGTTGAAAAAATGTTGTTCACTGGGCAATGAGAAGAAATATGCAACCATAGAGAGACCTCCTCCACGCAGGTATACTCTCAGTTTATCTGTCAATGTCTTTCTACCGTTTGCGTTCTAAATGACTTACTGATACTGTTTCATCTGAACGATTGTAATTAATTCTTTTCCCTATTAAATTTACCTTACCTTTTCCTCATAACTTTTACTGATTATGGAACATATATCCTTTGCCTAACATATCAACACAAATTCTTATGAAAACTTCTCATAACAAAATTATGCCATATTGGCCACAGGGCCTTCTGCTTCTTGTCCACTGCATAACTATGCAATCCATTTACTCTTGTCTTTGCAAACAATCTCAAATTTTATTCAATATAATTTATTTCCACATTTTTCTAAAATGTTAAATATTTACTGAAACTTGTATTTCTTGTTATTTTACGATGCTTTGTGTCCCTGAAGTCTCATTTCGGTTTATACTTTTCCATGTTTTCCGTTTTCTGCCTACTACATTTCATCAACATTCTTTTATATTTTAATACAAAATTCCACTTAGGTATTTTGCGCTCCCTCATTATTAAGAACTTTTCACTAAGATGTTTGTATAAATTATATTAATAATAAAACTAATGCATTAATAGCACATTCTTAGAATTTGACAAGACACAGATAATGATCTCACTTCTTTTTATTGCTAAGCTGCACATTTTTAAAGTCTGGAAGAAAAGCAACAACACACTGATTCTTTTCATAAAGACAAAAGTTAAAAATTATTTCTTTCAAGATTTTAAACATGAAAACTGAGCAATATGCAGTCATAATGCAGTGGGTAGTGAAAGAGATGAAGAAAGATGTAATTCACTTACCTCTTCATCTGCAGTTGAGAAAGAATTGCCTTGTGCTGGTCCTCGAGGAGATGAGAATGGAATATCAATATGTAGAGAACCTGTTCGCAGGTGCAAAGCAACAGCAGGCTTTATTTGCTGAAGCCAATTTGCAATAGCTGTTGTCACAGGATCTTTGACGGTAGTATCACTGTCTACAAGGTAAAAATACAAGGAATAGAACAAATCAATCAAGCAATCAATTCAATATGTTTACAGTAATCACAGAGACAATTAAAATTATAAATAGCAAAGAAAAGTGACAAAAAACATTTGACAAGAGAATTTGATGATAAACAAATTTGGGAAGTCCCACAATTCTTAGAATTAGAGACGGTATTCTGCTCTCAGGTCTACTCACTACTACTACTACTACTACTTCTACTGCAAGAATGAAATTACATATACACTTCAGTTTTGTTTTTTAGTGAGCTTTTTTTTGTTTTCTTTTCTGAAAACTTTCTTTGTTAAACAGAACTCAGATAACGACTCCATCTCACAATCAGTCTTCTATACATTTATCAATGCCAAATAAATACTATGTGCTAATAATATTTTACATTTCACTATTATATTAATTATGCACATCATAGCTAAACTGAACTCTAGAAACATATATTAAGAATTCTAAGTGCTTCTTGAGATTGAGTATTTCCTATTGACAGTTTGGATAAGTAGGATAAAGGTATAGATAATTTTACCTCCTACAGTACACTAGCTCAACTGCTTAGCTGAGGTCAGCAAATTGAATTAACATTTAATTAATTGTTCAAAAGTGGTAGAATCTCTGTCTCAAGAAGTTGTTAGCCATTAAACATCATTATTTCATTTATATACAGAGAGATAAACTACTTTGATGAAAGTACAAACCTATGGGGAAGTGAGTATCCAAGTCTGGAGATCCTTCAGGATGAACACCACAACCATCAGGAGACTGCTCCACAGTGGAGTAGTTCTGAGGATTCATTATTGGAATGATGTGAATGGATGTGCTCTGTAAAGCAAATTATTCTCATTATACCATGTTATCTTATCCATGAATGAAAAAAAGAAAGAAACTATTTTAATACAAAAATGCTTGACTTACAAATTAGATAATAATTTTAGAATAATTATCAACATTGGGAGATATATTTGCATTTAACATAATATTCTGACAGAAAAAATAGTTTCACAGTCAACTTTGTGATTAAGTTATGGCTCAAAAAACAAAAAATAACATTCAATTAGTAGTGCCCCCAAACAGCACATACTACTTTCTTGCATTAATTGTTACAACCACATCCTATAATAATACATAAACCGCTGAAATTTTTTTCCAACCAGGAAACATTACTTTCTCCATGCTGATATTCTGATTCTTAGATTTAGCATGGCATTCACATTAACCCAAAACAAGTAGCATCACAGCCAAACTTCCTAATGCTTTAAAAACAAAGCTGAACATTTGAGTTTACAATTTTCAAAAACTCAGAAATGTTCTTATCATTTTGCAATGTTAACTTTTCAAAACTTTAAAAAATACTTATTGATCTAAAAAGCACCAATTTTTAAAGCATACTTTGCTCCCTTTGAGAAAAAGTAAAAATATGTGTGTGAGAATTATTTTGTATTACCTTGACTTCCAATAAAAATTACACAAAACAATTAATATTTTCAAAACATTGTGCAAGACATTATTTAAAGATGTAATTCTTCATAACAGAATTTATTTCAGAAAAATATCTTTATCAATGCTGTCGCCTTGCACTGTAATTTTTTTACAGTTTCCAAAAATTCAGTTCTCCAAAAATTGAAAACTGCCATTTTTATAAGCATACTTTGCTCTATTTGATTAAAAAATATTTGATTTGAAGAAAAACTTCAAGTCATTTGAGTAAAGATTATTTTTTATATTGCCTATATTTCAAGTTAAAATGCATCAAAACTAAATTTGTGCATGGTACTATTTAAAAATATATATCTTTGAAAAACAGATTTCATTAAGGAAAAATATTTATCTTCTGAATCAAAGTTGTAGGAAGACGGCGAAAAAATTTTGAAGTTTTGCAATTTTCAAAAATTTAAGAGTTCAACAATACGAGTCCTGCACCATTTTTTTAAGTGTCCATTGCTCTATCCAAGAAAATATTTAATACAAAAATTTGAAGCCGTTTTTGACAAAATTTTGAAAACGTCCTTGAGGCTTCATGTAAAGAAACCTCAAAATCAAAATATTTGTTTCAAATTTACAGGGCCAGATTGATCAGGAAATGTCAATTTTGGAGAAAATTATCTGAATGGTTTAGGCACTGGGGTTGACACCAGGTGAGTAGGTCACTCAGACAGACAAACATTTTGACATAAACCAATACTTGAGTATCAAGGTCCTGCAAAACATGGATTCTAACTACACAATGTGTTAGAAAAAGTAATTAACTATATAAAAATTATCCACTTTTTCAGCATCAGAGCCTCCACAATATGAGTTTTCTGCTGAAAATTCATGTCTTTTCACTGCAGCATTACAATACTTTCTCTTTATTTTGCAAGTACTTCGTAGGCAAGACTGTAACAATTATAATAGAACAAAGAAAACAGAAATATTGGCACTGGCTGTAGAATAAACTAACATTACCGTGAGCAATTTTGCAATACTTGAATCTGTAGCAAAGTCTGATAACAGCAACCTAGCCAGTCGAAGAACTAGTTCAGTTGCCAATGGTTCTTTGGATAAGCCAGCTACAATTGCCAATGTTATACGTCCTGGAATAGGATTCTTCTGCTGAGACACCTCCAAGGCTGAAATGCCGCTGCTTCCCAGACTGAAACAGTATTGGTTATACAATTAATTTCAGAATATGTATTTCTGAGAAACAAGTAATACATAGATTCAGTTAAAAGCGATTTCCAATTCTCAGATCAATAACATAAATACTTAAAATTTCCAGCAGCACTTTTATCTTCTTTCGCTGATGAGAATAAGAGAAAATGAGGACATCACATGTTAAAACTAGTGGTGCTACCAAAGCACACACTTTCTCGCATTTTTCTACATACTCTGTAACATTACACTACTACACAAACCAGCAAGAGTGTTTTCAAGAAGCAAATTATTTTTTCGTTCTGAGGCAAACTTAGATCCTCAGGAGTTAACATGCTGGCACTCATACCACTACGCCACAGAAGCACCTCATAGAACAAACTCAGACTGTTATAAAAAGGTAAATGTCTAATTCAAGTAAAAATTCCTTTTAGTTCAGTTGGAAACTCCCAAAGCCTCCAGTTTATGAAGATCAATCGTGGAATATCAATTTTGAAGAAAATCAGCTGAATGGCTTAAGTGCTAGCGTTAAGCATAAATGGACAGACAAACATTTTGCTATCAATCAATTTTTGATATCAAGAACTAACAATGGCTACACCACAAGTTAAAGGACTTTTTTTTTCTAAATTTTTCTAAATCGGCAATCAAGTGTTTTCTGGCGAAATCTTGGCGTTTTCTGGCGCATGAGCACATACCTTTCTCTTCTTACAAAGAATTTGTAAGGCGAGAAAGTAATAATAATTATTTTGGAACTGTTACCGATATCTAAGCTGGTCACATGGCTAGTGTTCATAATGTAATTAAATTTCATGTCAATAGATTCATTAGTTTTCTTAAATTGGTTTATACAAATGCTCAGAAACTCAACAATTGATTTGACAGGACATACATTTTAAAAGTTGCAAAAGAAAGTTGAAAAAAATGTTTAAAAGTTACAAATTGCAAAAGCAGATACAGACAGATCCAGTTTATTTGTATATATATGGTAGTTTCTCAAATCCTCATTAGTTTTCTACAACATTTTCATCAAATTAAAATCCCCATGTGGGAGGCAATCTGGTGATATCTTGGTATCAAGTGATGAACCCGAACACGCCACTTAACAACCTCAGCCATCCAGGAGGACAAAACCTCTACACTTCCATGTTATTCAACACATAATCGTTTAAGTTCTAGAATTAAGGAGCTGAGAAAATCTGAAAAAAAATTGTTTCTCAAACGACAAAAGGCAGCCGTAAAGAGAAAAAGGACATCCGAAAGGCCATCCAGACAATAGAGATTAGAAAACTAACTAGAGTGAGAAAGTCTGTGCCATACTACAGCACCACTAGTTTCATTTATTTTTTATTCATTTATTCGTTTTTATTCATTCATTTGTATCCATTCATTCAGTTTTTAGTCATTAATTAATTAATTCGTTCATTCATTTATTTATCATGCACTATTACATAAGAGGAAAACCTTTCAGGAAAATATTTTGTGCAGGTTTTCAGAAAATATTTTTAGAAATAGCATAACTTTCAGACCCTAATTAAGCGAAATCAGCTTATTTTTTTCAAACAATTATTTGTTGTTTGACCTTATTTAGAGACCTGTTTTTTTTAAACACTCTTTATTTAAAGCAAAAATTACTATCTCTAATTTTGTAGTTTTGAAAGGTTCACGTTCTTTCAGCATTTTTCAAAGAATGGAGCTATAGACAAAAATGAAACTAGCATCAAATTTTTTACCATCCCTTATTACATGTGAGAAAAGTTTAAAGAAAAAAATTAGAGCGAAAAAAAAATTCATAAAATACAAGCGCATATTATGCAAAAACTACAATTTTTTTCAAAAATAGTACTTGACATTTTTTAAAGAGCGCTAATTATGTACAACATACTTTGGTTGAGTCAAAAATTTCTCTCTACAATTTTGAAGTTTTATTTTTATTTTTTATTTTTTAGCAATTTTCATAAAATTAGGGATGTCAACGAAAATGAGATATGCACCATTCTCTGAAACATCCTTTGCATTATCCAACAACAAAATTTAATCAAAAAAATTTGGTGCAGTTTTTGAGAAAATGCTTTTGTGGCTTCATGTGAAGTACCCTCAAAAATCAAGATATCCGTTTGAAACTCCCCAAGCCATGAGATCATTCAGATCAATTGGGAATAACCATTCTGAAGAAAATCGGCTGAATGGTTTAAGCACTAGCGTTGACCACTTACAGACGGATGGACGTTTTGCCGTCAATTGATTTTTAACATGCATTCTGGCTACACCACAAGTTAAAAGATTTTTCCCCCCTAAATTTAGCAGTAGCTTATTCACTTTTTCATTACCAGAACCTGGGAATAAGGTGTTTTCCAGTGAAATTTCAGGATTTTCTGGTGCACGATTACATAACTTCTCTTCTTATGAAGAATTTGTAAGGTAAGAAAATAAAAAATTGCTAATAATTCATACATACGTGTAAAGGCGAGACTGGCGTGGGTACTCAGAATTAAGATGATCTAGCAACTTGTGCACAGCAGCAAAATTATGATACTTTGTTTCATCATCTGCTTTCTTATCCAACTGAACAGTTATTTCTGTTAGAACTCCAGGCTTAATACTCAGAGAAATCAACTTGCTGGCATGTTGTGGGCAAGTAACTTGTAGTTCATAATCTCCCACAGGAAGGATTGCCTTGAAAACAGCCATATTAGCACTAAGCTGCAGAGGTTGGGGAAAACCCTTTAGTATAACACTAGCTTGACGAAGAGGCTGTCCACTGAAGTCTTGCACTTGCCCTCGGACACCTGTAATCAAGTGAAAAACATTCCTTAACTAAATTATACAAATTTATAAATATATAAAAATTCTCATTTATGCTCTTGGTGCTCTTCAAACTCTATGTTCAAAGCTTTGAAAGTCAAAGACGACTATTATATAAGAGGTTTCATGCTCACTCGCATGCTTATAAGTGCAGGTCAAAAGCAATTGAACAGGAAATGACTGCAAACAGAAATTTACTTGAAAAGTGCCATGCCCAAAAAATAGCATCTTTAATGTTGTTTTACACCGCACACATCCCAAATTGTAATGACATTTTGAAAAGAAAAAGTAATATGGAAATTGGTCACCATTTCATTTGGAAAGGTATCATATCTGCATTCACCATATATGGTATTTTTTCATTGGGAACTCATAAGTTATTACTTGGATTAGAAAAATCATCAACATTTGGCAACATTGGAGCACACTGTCAAAGTAGTGTCCACATTTACAATAAATAAAGTAGTAGTAAACATGTAAAATACACAAAAAACTAGGGTCTTATATTTTAAAATTAAAAATGTTTGAAATATACGCCAATAAAACTGGTAATCCCATATTACATGGTTTATTCAGGAAATACCAAATTGAAAATGATGGAAAAATATTAAATTTCACACAACAATTGGTAACATCCAAATGGGACGAATATTAATAATGGTCTCCAACTAATTATATTTAATTGTACATTTAGAGAGCCTTGTTTAAATTTCGTGTTTCCCATGTTCTATAGCAATTGAATATATTTTTATGTTCAATATCTGCAAAGTTATCTACAGGCTTCTATATTTTTTTTAAAATAATTATTCAATTAATTAGTTATTTAAGTAATTAATTATTATTATTATTATTATTATTATTATTATTATTACTATTATTATTACTGTCAACATTGTTACTATTATGAATTTACTTTGAAAATTGATATATGCACAAAAATCATCGAATACATCAAAATCAGAACTACAAATTAATAAAAATAGAAAAAAAAACTAGTTTATTTTTGATAGTATGACTATATCTCTATGTAGATACTCAAGCTACAACCCTTAAAAATATATTTTCAAAAATGTTGTTTTCCTATTTAACACATATTCACGTTAATTTAATCAACAAACATATCTTAAGTCTACAAATTTTTCACATAAAATTATTTTTCTCTGTAATATCATCTTTGAGGTTAAAAAGAATTCATTTAACACAGTAATTTGGGGGACTAACAATTAAAATACTTTGATTTAAATTGATGCTAAAATTTCCTTCACAATAAATGTTGTTATTTATTTCCATAAATTGTATTTTTAACTGTTCCACAGATGAATGGATTACAAGGCATAAAAATATTCAAAATAAATGTTCACAAAATGTTCAAATCGTGCTTTCTAACAATCAGAGCATTGAAAGTCACACACATACACACACAACAAACACACCCCACCACCGACCTCCACCCTCATGTGTTCCTCAGCCTCCGCAGTCAGGAGCAACCAGCAGACAGACGTAGTTCACACCTCACCTTGGTGTACAGCTGACAATAGCTGCATTAGTGGCTGCAAATTCTGTCGCCAGAGTGTTCCCAGTTCACTAGCTGGAGGGTAAGAACAGCAAGTAACATGTGCAGTAACCTGAAAAGTAACCACACTAAGGATAACTTACAAGAGCATTAACTTTATATCACATCTAATACCAAGTGAATATTCAAAGGTTCTTGAATCCTTCTATAAAAAAATTACAATTGAATATTAGTGAAAAGCACTTCTTGACTTCCATTAAAACATATTGTTTAAAAATTATTTCAAATATAAAATTAAATATTGAACATACAATCAAATTTAAAAAATATAAAAACCGTGTTATTCAATGATTAATAACAAATAATTCCTTTCAACAGCTAACCAATCATATTGATTCTACACTGTAATTTCAATTTTCAGTGCAGATAAATGTTTACTAAATAATTAGAACCATTATAATATAACTAAAGCAATCACAATTCTTTCACTGATATTCATAAACTATTTTCATACCATTGGTACTCCAAATTCATGGTACACTTTGTCAAGAACTCGGGCACTGGCAGTTAATGAACCACGGTCTTGGTCTCTTGGTTTAGTACATTTATTCTGTTCCTGCAAAAATTAAATAAACATGTTTATATAATTTTTAACTATCTCATATTTTCTCACTGACAGCAATTCACAATACAATATTTTTAATGGACAATTTTAGCATTGTTTGTAACAAGATACAAGTTTTTTTTCCCTAAAGTAGTCAGACCAATTTAGTAACAAGAAAGTTACTGCCAATATTTGTACAACTTAATACTCTTCGAAATAGCATCCATGGGCATCAACATACTGTTTCCAACAGTAGTCATTTTTTGGGGGGCCTTCTGGAACACAGAAGTGGAAATCTCATTTCCTTCATCATGGCCTTCTGTATTGCCTGGACCATGCACTGGCAATGTCACTTCAGGGTGAACTGGAGGCTGGGGAAGAGGAAGAAGTCTGGGAGAGCAACATTGAGCTGTGGACTGGCTGGGTCAATGTTACCCTGTTGTGTTGAGTCCAAGTCAAGATCCAGGACCAGGCCAAGCCACACCTATGAGCTCAGTGTTACAAGGCATATTGCCAAAGCTTCCAAGAATTGGTGATGATTGGGTAGATGCAAACAATTAACTTTCACTGTTTCTCAAAGATTCCCATATTAAAAATCAAAAATATGTATAATAACACAGGCCCAAACTCACAGCGATTCACTTGAGCAGACAATGACTTCAACAATCACTTTCTTCTTGAAACAACTTGACTTGTAAGCACAAATTAATTGCATAGATTGTATAGCATTCTTGCTACTTGATGAGTGATCTATACTTTGCAAAGGGTTGGCGTCAACTGCCACTGGTTGCCACACTTCCCTAACAGCACCCACCATCACACCTGCCTAAAGACTTCCCTTCATTCCTCTTCCTCAAGGCAAAAAATTCTGACCAACTACATTTGAAACAAACCTTATGTTACAATGAAACTAATAAAAATTCAAGGTACTTACAGGTTGAAACTGAGTATGACTAGAGTTGTACAAGTTAGAAAGCATAGAAAATAACTTTTCTGATGCTGTACTTAGTCCTGAAGGATATCTAGATTTATAAAAAATACAAAATATTCCAGTCAATATAATGAAATTGCTTCATGTATTCACTTTGCTATTAGAATGCAAAATAGTACCAAACTATTCTAAATTTACAGCTATTCGAATAATTACCTCATGAATTGTCCTTTTCCTTCAAGAGAGACAACTAAATCAAACTGCTTGATGTTCATCATATGAATAAAAGCTTTGGTAACAGGATCAGAGCCATTGCCATGTTGTGCTATGCGGAAACCTATCTCATCAGCCCTTGGAGGTGGATGGCAATCCTTAGAAGTCCCAACACCTTCAAAAGCTGGATCCACTCCAGGTAATATATGAATAACTGCATTTTGTAGAATAGCTAGAGTAGCAGGATCCTTGCGGGTATCTCCAGCAGCAAGATGCCAAGAAAGACGCCTCAATAGTTCACGTCCTACAGGTTGTGATGCAAACAATCCACCCACAAGGGCCACATGGAACTTTTTCTCATCAGGAGCCCCCAACTGTAAAACAAGCACTGCAATTATTTTTCGAAGATCTACATTCAGAAAATTAAATCAATTATTTGAATCCATAACCTATATAAGTTATTACCAGAACTACATCTGAATTTCAAGACACGAATGACATTGTGAGACAAGTTTCATGTTCAAGTAAATAGATACTTAAGATTTAACTTCTATTAAATTTTGTGAATAGATGACATGAAAATGAATATGCAAGAAATATTTACTTCACAGTAAGTGCTTTTTCACTCTAGCATTTTAAGATATTAAAACGTGAACACTACAATGACTTCCAATTACAATTATAAATGACATTAATGTGAAATGCCAATATGGGAATATATTGTATTTAAATTGATGAATCATGATCTAGAGGAGCAGGATGAACAAGAAGATGAAACTGTCAACTGATCTTCCATTATAATTTTAATTTTGGGACAAATAAATATACTAAAAATATAATTATCATTCAATCAAGTCTGAGTAACATATTATTACACGATTATATTAGGTTTCCTATAATAAACAATATATCTACCTTGAATCAATGCATGTCAATTACATATTTAATCAAGAGCCATTACAGGATTGTTATGACTGAAAAATTCCAGTAGAATAAGAAAAACAACCTTAAGAAGATAAAATTTTGGGACTGGTGCTATTATTAAGATCCAACATATTACAACAGATGGGAGAAACTATGTGCAATGCTGTACTTGAGATGGAAGCATGTACCTTACATTGTACTATTGGATAATATTAACCAAGTCGAGCTAGAATTTATAACACAAAAACGGCTGGACCAATTTTAATTCTCTCTGATTTGTTCTTAGATTCATGTTCATCCTGAATAGCAGATTAAGTATTAAAATATTGGAAAATTTCACTAGATGGCACTTCACTAGGTTCACTAGATGGCGATGGCACTACACACTCCGCTGAAGTTTTTGAATCTATATTGTTAAATAATTCCTAAACAAAGCGTTCCAAGGTATTAAAAACTAAAATTTAGAGGCCCAAGGCCTCAAAGAAATGTTTCTCGCACCATAATCAATAAGATGAGATGATCTTTTTGAACATTCTATTACAATTTTACTGGAGGAAAGGGAGAGGGAGGGGGTGAGGGAGACAAAGAGAGAGAAAAGGAGAAGAGCAGAATGTCTGCTGGGTTATGCTAGTAATGGATAAAACATGAATAAATTAAGAAGAACCTTATGATTTCTGTGGAGTAATAATGCAAAATGACAGTTGAAGTGACACAGAAGTGACACTCAGTAGTTGCATGTTAATAGAAAAAGAAAATTAAAAGATAACAGTATGGTTTCTCAAGCTAGTTGGTTGGAATACAACAGTGTCATGAAAGTTTCTGAAAAGTTTAACATTTCTTAACAGTTTGAGGAAATAAGGAAAACTGCATTTATATGTTATGCCAAACATCAATTGAATGAAAAATCTAAAGACACAGTTTAATAAGTGGTGATTTTAAGAAAACGGCAAGAGAACTTATTATTTAAACTTATAAATTCTGTACCTCATGAGTGACTTTAAGATAGTGGATTGACATAGAATCCTCATTATCTCCAGAATGAAATTCCACCACTGAAGGTTGTTCATTCTCTAAGGTAGCAAGAGAAGTACTGAGTTCTGCATTAGAAAGGTATGGAGATGATGCAAGATTCCCTGCAAGGCCAAAATCATACTGACGAGACCATCTCTCTGGATCATCTCTCATTAGAGTGAAATTCAGTTCTGCATGGCCTGTTTCTTTCGGAACTTCTATATTTAAAGTATCCCTTTCATATCTGTAAAAGAATAATTTGTACATTTCTCAATAACTAATTAAGATCAAGGGACGATTTCATTCCAAAATGTATATCAGACAATTAGTCCCTGATTAACATTTTGTAAATAGATTTACTCAACCTAAAACTATTTCACATCTTTAGATTGAAATCTCACAAAAAAATGTTTAAGTTCTCATACCCTGGAGCAGATGCAGTAACTCTGTAATTTCCTGGAACTAGAAGTCGCCAGAAGTCACCATCCTTCGCAGAGCGCACAAAATGGTCAATTCCCTCCACAGTAATAGTCGCATTGGCAATAGGATTGCCCCCTGTGCTTCTTACAAACCCATGAATTCCTTTGTGAACCTTTTACAAGAAAAACAACAACAATTATCACTACGCAAAAACAACTAAGATGAAGCTGTTGCACAACCACCATTCGTCTTTTCTATTTATTTGATTGCAATATGCTTTCAGTATACATGCCAGTGCTCACCTGTTCCATGAACAATAAAAGAGGTTCCTTATGGTCTTTCCACAACTGCGGAAGATATGTTGCATCAGGGAACTTTACACATCCCATTTCTATAGTCAATTCAAAACAGTTGGAGTTCAAATAATTCCAGTCTTGCATTCCCCCTGACACCACATACCAGTGAGCTCCATTAACTATGCCTCCTTCAAAGTGTTCCTTCGGAAAATCTGGACATGGTTTTCCAAAATGCATACTTGGATGTGTCTGAAAAACAAGATATTTAGGATAGCAAGAATTGAATTGAACTGATGCATTATTTTAAGTGGCGAGACTCAGGCCATCAGGCCCGCTCTTCCGTCTGACCATGCAAATTTCACTACACTCCTTTCACCAACTAGCGGAGAAAGGAGGTATTTCTTGGACGGCAAAACAGGCAATTTGAATTTAGTTCAGGGGCTTGAGGATCTCTTACATGCAAGTAAATCTACTAACATGGGATAGCCGGCTTTACTTCCCCTCCGAAGGAAGGCGTACAAAGGATTTTTCGTCCTTAAAAATCCATGGATTCGATCGGGTGAACCTGCCAACTTGGGTATAACAGTCTGATATGCTAACCTTTACACCATTGCTGCCACATGTTCACCAAGAGCTTCAAATGTTTCAGAGAAATAGGTCTCCTTAAAATCATTCATCATTCTACCAAGGGGAGGCCATTAGGACCATATCCCCTCTCCAAAGACAATTTCTTTTAACATTTATTCATGCAATTACCCTGTTTGTGTAATTGTTTACATCACAATTAAAAGAGTATTCTCATTATAAATATACATTATGTAATTCAAGCTAATTAGTAAAAGAGAATACTATTTCAAAAATGATTGGGAAGAGAGGGGTATGTTTGTATCGAAACTGCTCCCCATATCCCAAAATGCTTTCTGGATCTGTTCCTGAAACACGCACGCACGGGCGCGCGCGCGCTCACCCACCCACACACACACACACAACACATTTTACTCAAAATTACAATAGTTTCTCTACATAAGGCTCGAATGCCTTTTAAATATTTTTTGGTGTACACAAGGTACTCAAACAAAGATATATCTTTTACAATTAATCACAAAAATTATTAGTCTCATTATGTTAGTAGTATGTACAATTTCCATGCTATCTTAATTACAGATGGCTTTAGGTCACCTTGAGTATTTCTTTCAAAATGCCAGTCTTTTGTCAAACAAACTTGTTTTGCATTGTATCTGTGTAATGAAAATACATTTTCTTATTAGAAGATTAGTTTGTGTGACTTTATCGATAAATAGTTAATCTAACAGGTTATGTGCCCAGGAGGCACAATTCACATTGATAAGAGGATTTTGGAAACTTAAAGGAATGGACAATACTCAAAAGTTGTCATAATACCTAAAAGTTGACTCAGCAACAAGCGAACTCGAAATGGCACATGCAACACAACTCATAATGTGATTGCAATCACAACTCATACTATGATACATGGGCTACACAAGCTGAATCTTTATTAATAAAAAATAAGACAAGGGAGATGTTTCTGGAGAAATTCCTGAACTTTCAGAACTGACCGGTAACACAGCCAAGCTAGAAGGTGGATGCACGAATTTGATTTTGTCAATCAATCCCTCAGAATTAAAACAAGTTGGAACTTATGTCACATCACGTGAGGTATGGCTTACAATTCAAGTCCATATATGCATCAAAGGAACCCACGCCAAAAGCGACATTATTGAAATGCCTGACACAACATCAAATGAAAGATTGTGATATTATAAAGAAACATCTTGCTGGATTCTTAGAAGCTGTTAACAAATTGCAGACAATGAATGTGGAGACAATGAAATGGAGACTTGTTGGCTATTATGATGCTGTACAGCCTTCTGAAAGCTACGACAACTTTCGATGTGCCAAAGAATCTCGTGATGATCTACCAGACACTGAGATGCTCAAGGTAAACATTATGGCAGAGCACAATGCTTGAAAACCAAAGAATGATTGACAACCTCAATGATTGTGAAAACCAATCAATGCTTTTTCAAGAAACCTAGAGACAACATCAAAAGCAATTTCAAAAGCAAACAAACACTAAAGGACTCAAAATTTAAAATAAAGTGTAACTTTCACAATAAAAAGGAACATAAAGAAGCTGAATTTGACTTGACTCACTTGAAGAAATTGATTAAAACCTCAGAAAACAATACTGAAAAGGGTTGTTTGTGTCCGTCCATAGAGAATTCTAATGAGAATTCATGTTACACAGGAAAATTGTGGTGCATTGACAGTAGTTGTACCTCTCACATTTGCAATAACAAAAGTGCATTCGAGCACACAAACAATACCGTGAGTAAATTAATACTCGCTGACTATTCTGATACAGAAGTATTGGCGAAGGTGAAGTATAGGCCATGTACAATTCTCAACAGAGGGAAATGTATGTGACTGAGTGTCATTGAAAAATACTTTGTATGTGCCGAATCTGAAAATTAATTTAATTTCATCTTCTTATGTTATGGCTCAACAGAATGGGTTTACTCAATGTAAAGATCAGACCCTCATCGAATGTACTAGATGCATGTTGATAAAGTCCAGAATGCCTTCATCTTTCTGGGTAGGAGCTATTGTGACTGCAAACTACGTTCGAAACAAGTGTATTACGAAGAGCTTGCCCAAGGTGACTCTCTACGAAAAAAGGAACGGAAAACGCCCAGACATTTCTGAAATGTGGGCATATGCCACCAAGATTTATATTCTATACAAGACACCTGGCAAAGGCAAATTTTAAAGCAGAAGTAAACATGGAAACGTTGTTAGATATTCTGATTACAATATTACAATAAGGGATATTTAATATGGATACCCAATGACCGAGCAATTTGTATTTCATGAGATATAAGACTGCTGGACAAGTGTGTTGCAAATCGTTCGAAGAGGGTGTTTTTCCCTGGGGAGAAAGTTTTTGATAAATTAACCAGGAACTCAAAATAAATTCACCAAACATAGTTGAAATAAACCCAAATCCTCCAACTCCAGAGTATTTAAATGGCAGGGATATTGGACTTACTTCTCTTGAATGCAAAGACACAAATTCTTCTAAACCTCTCAAAGATAATGACGACGTTGCTACAACCAAACGACAATATGGAAGACCAAAGAAGGTAAAAAATGGGAAAATTCACAAGTAAGTAAAGATCAGAATAAAACTAATTTCTTCAAAGATCGCCAGTCTTACATATTGCCAATAGTGGACTTATCTCCAATGAGTTACGAAAACAAAAGCGACGTTATTAAAGAAAATAATTCATCACAGGTAATAACTTTGTTTTTAATGCAACAGAAATAAATATGCACAATGCACCCTATGTTTTGAACTCATTTATTTGAGTGTTTCTGATGAACTTAAAAAAATTGAAGAGCATGATATAAAAGGGAAAACAGATCCTGATGGGATCCCTACAACTTAATTTAAAAAATGTAAATTTGTCTTCTCCCAATTGCTGAAGGGGTAATTTGATAAATCTGTATTTGAAAGTTTGTTTCCAACTGAGTGGAAATCGTCATACATTGTACCAATCTTAAAATCTGGTGATAAGTTGTATTTCCAATTATAAAACAATTACAATCCTGGATGTAATTCCTAAACTATTTGAATCAATAATTGTTAATAAATTGAATTGCTTGATCTGTCCATTTCTGTGAGAGAGACACTTTTGTTTTGTTAGTGGAAGGAGCACTGAGGCCAATCTCATATATCACTCTCAATAGAATGGAAGACAATTTTCAAGTCGATAGTATTTATATGGACTTCAGTAGGGCCTTCGATTCGCGAATCATTCCATTCTTCTCTACAAGTTGCAACATTTTGGTATATGCAGATCTCTACTTCAGTGGTTCAGTCATTATTTGTTGGGTTGCGTACAGTATGTGTCTGTTAGAGAAACCACTTCTGAACTCATAGATGTTTTATTTGGGGTACATTAAGGTTCCCACTTGGGTCCCCTCTTTCCATGCTGTGACATCTTCTGACTTTTTATGTCCCTTTGAAAGTTTTGTGCATTGAATTTGTATTGTTCTTCATCTTTCATCAGGTGTCACCTAAGAATATTCTCTTGTCTGTCCCACACTTATTGATGTCCATTTTCTTTAACAGTTCAAAATGTAGATTCACACTCGCCGTGTTGAACTGAGATTCCGCGCAGCCTCATTACACCCGCATCGTGTAACAAAATCTCAGCATTAATTTTCATGTTATGTTTCATTTGATACAATGCCATTTATTTGAGATACTCTCTTTACTAGCCTATTCAAAAATATTGGTCTGAATCGACCAGCAAATTCCAAATGGATGCCGAGAATACAACTGCAAATATAATTACGTATTATAGATACATACAATATTTTTACTGTCTTTGCAGTTGATTGTTACACCATCATTTATGAGTTTAATGACATAGAATGGCAATGTTAAACCTTAAGCCCTAACCGCCCAAACTTAAACTGCAAATATAAGAAGATCTCGCATTTCGTGACTGAGATATTTAGGAAAAAGTTCTGCTTGTATTTGGTTAAATACAGTGTATATGAATCTATAATATATGCACATAACTTTGAATTGAAAAGTTATTCCAACAGCATCAAATAATGTATTCTCAAAATATTTACTAACATCAGAATATGTTCGAGCTAACATCTTGAAAACAGCATCATCAGGACTAGGGTTGGGAATTCCTCCTTGGTTTTGGGAATTGCTATCATACGGATAATTTGCAACTAAGAAGCCACCATGAAGATTTGCAGAAAGAACAAAGGGCAGAGATTGGATCCATTTCATCACTGCTAATGTTTCAGGTTCAAATGTATGTCCCTGCAAAATAAAAGTAGACAATTGTACAAAACACAAGAACAATATTAACATGTGGTATGAAAAACAGTAAAACTGTAAATATACATAAAATTACTGTAAAATACATACACGGCGAGTAATATACTGGTCCGGGAAATTGCGATTCAGGTCCACTTTATTTGCATTAGCTCGCCCATCTAAATCATCCCGATCACCTGACCACACAAACAATTTTTCATTTATATACACACTTAATTTTCAATACATTCGAAACTGTATACTAAATTCCTTAACTTCAGGCAGAACACTTCCAGGAAAATAGTCAAAACAATTTTTGTTAACATGTATTTATCAGGGACACTTACCCGGAATTGAAACATGAGAAACGTTGTATCCATCTGGATTCATTGAGGGCATGAAATGTATACGAGTACTGTCTACCAAATTAGTAATCCGTGTGTCAGTTCCATAATTTTCCAGAATATATTTTGCTAGTAACAGTAACATCTCTCTTCCCACAACTTCATTGCCGTGCATATTTGCAACATACTTGAACTCAGGTTCACCTAAGTATAAAATACAACATAAGAAATACACATCACCAAATAAAATATTTTCTAATTTTTTTCTCTATTATTCTGTAATGGCTAATAGGAAACCTGATCAATGTACAAGCATGATAACACACATGTTTATACTTGCTCATGACACAACACACACTGCAACAATCTTTTTACAGTTTCAAAGAAATTAAATAACAGGAAAAAAATGTTTACTTAATTATGAGGAATCATATTATCAAGTAACATTGAATAAGATTTAATCTTAAAATGATTAAGAATCTGAAAATTAAATGTTTGGTTAAATCCGAAATACTTTTTGCTGATCCATCAGTGAGAATACACTGAACATAGGAAATGCAGGAAGTGCCCATCTCGATTGCTCAACTTATTCATCTACCACTGTCATTACTGAAAGAAATTAATCACTGCTACATCAACTAGACACATTTTTAAGTGCAAGAAAAAAAATTGTGATATTGCACATCTCACCCAAATTATTTGCCTTTGTATCTATATCTGAAAGTATTTACTTTGACACATTAAGTATTTCCCATTTTCACTCTTCATTTATTGATAAAAATACTAATATTATAATTTTTTTTATTTTATTTTTTATTTTTCAATATATTTGATGGCCAAAATTTCCTCAAATATACAAAAATTGAGAACTTCAAACTACAATACAACAAGAATTTACTAAATTATTTTTCCATGTGAAAAAAAAAGAAATTTCATGGTATTTTTACTTAAAACCACTGATCTACATGAACCATCGAAATACAGTAACATATCTTAAAAATTAACAACCAAATTTTTAATTAGGCCTTAGCATATATTCATGCTGCCACTTCTGTTTCCATTTCCAAATGTGATTTATATCTTCCTACATATTTATATGTACTTATTATCCTTGTTCAGAACACTATTTGTATTGTACTTATTATGTTTGATAAACATTTTTAATAAAAATGCTGCTAAAAAACTTACCCGGTTCATGTTCCCCAGGCTTATCAGATATCTCCAAAACATACAATTCTCTTCCTTCCACGCTGCGACCAATACTATACAATCTAGTTAGATTGTGGTAATTGTCTGATAATTGTTTCAATACTTCTACCATTTCATCATAATTGTGATGCTGGAACTTTGGAGGAATGACAAAACCATATTCATCATTATATGGAGGCGTCACCACCTTAACACTTTTACCTGCAAATATCATGTTGTCATTTAGATCATGTTGATTGTAAAGTGAAGAATCTACTCAAAAATATTTGAAATAATAGAATTTGCCCTAAATATATAAAAGGTTTTTCAAAGAAACATTCTTTAACCAACAGACAATTATAGGGAAAAAAAAGAATAGTATAAAATTTGTTATCAGAGCTACAATTAATTTTGTCTTTTCGATTTGCTCTAGTTACCAAACACTAATTCAAAAGACAAATTTTTGAAGTCTTAAGCACCAAAGTACTTGATACTTTAAAGAAAATGAATTACTTTTCCTATGATTGAATCATGTAAATATATTCCGGGATTCTTACAGAAGCAGCAATATTATCATTAGTGTTTAGAGACCTGAACACAAGCTTTCCAGTCAGGCAGACCAATGAGATGAAGTGACTAGTAATTACTCAGTTGCTTTTGTAACTCTTCCAAATTTCAAAAATTTAGTCCTCATAGCTTTCAAGATACCAGATCTACAAGGCAGTTTGAAAATCTAAGGAAATGGTTCCATTTATGGTCTTCATATAATGTAGTTGTAAATGTTTCCTGAGCACATGCAAAATTTTAAATAGTCCAATAGACCTGTTAACAATGTCTCTGTTCAGTCTTGAGCATATAGACAGAACATGGAACACTGATGCCAAGTCCTGTCAGTCCACATAAAACTTCAGTTATAATTGCTGTGGTGGAAATCAAATTGCCCCACTGTTCCACACCTGACACTGCAAGATTTTGGAACTTTTGGAGCATGCAGTACTTGTACAACAGTTTTTAAAAATATTTCAAAAAAATGTTCTGAATAAGTAGTCACTAATCTTTGGTGCTTAGCTTCTTTGAGAATTTTAGACTTCATTTTATTTTTAAAATGTGTATTCCCAAGCCCTGCACATGATGGTTTCATGTCTACAATGTTATTTCAGTAAAAATGTTTTATAACTAATAAGGGGTCCTACTACAAATATTAAGACACATATTGCATTCTAAAATAAATTTATTGTCTTTGTTTCAGGTTTCACATTACAGTAACTGGTATATTTGGTCATACTATTCAAACTACAGACCTTCATTACAAAACATTTTTACAAAAACAGTCCAGTGAAATCAGACATTATAACATAAATAAAAACAATTTTTTAACTTCTGAGTATTTGAACTTCTGGTAAGAAACACTGAAATTGTATACACAAATATAACCAATAGAAAATTAAACATAACAATGACTGTTTTGTGCATGTTATGCTTTATGCTCCATGAGTATTGCACAGGTTCTATATTCTTACTACACAAAATGAACACAAATGGGGGAAAATTATATTGACAAGTTGAGTAACAGAGCTTGGGAAACAACTCTCAAAAATGAACATTATAAAATTTTTACTTTTCATAAATTATTCAAAGTAATACTAGGCTTTCCAATCAATGCATTGCGAGCCAGACGTGGCACGCATAGAAATTATGAAATCCAAAATTTTAGGTTGTTGTGCCTTCAAAATTGGCTATGAACACTTCTCACGAAAATGATTTATGTGCAAAGATGATTTATGCTTAAGGAAAAGTTAACTACTGAGACATGGTACTTTAGTTGTACCTTAATCATACCTTAATTAGGAGAAATATAATGGTGAATTAAAATGAGCAACACAAAGAAAGATAATTATTTAAAAAATGTTTGTCTCTTCTATAAAATGACAAAATGAGTATGCCATTTCACACGGCTATTTTTACAAGCACAACATACTCAACTATAGTAGTCAAATCAAAAGGTATTTCATATTCAAAAACAACATTCTCACATTACATCTCTGTTGCTAATAAATCTTGCAAAATCTGAAAGTTACTGTACTTATTTTTATCCAATAATTTTGAAGTGACCCTTACCCTCATCTGCTTAAATAATTAGGCCCAAAGTCATTAAAGATTGGAGATAATGTAATTATAGTGTAGAGAGCAAAACAACCTTCCAAGGTTAAAAGAGAGAAGAAAAATATACAGAAACTATATTAAAAAAATCATAATCAAACTGACTGATTACAAGATGAAATCACATGAAAGCATCGACATTATTCTCACAGAAATTCGGCATATTCAATCAGAAATGTATATTTTCATTGTCTTATGTCACGGTAACTATGATTATTTTATTGGACTAAATAGAACTGAGGTAGAATGATTTAAATTATTTTTATCATTTCCACCAACACTATTATAACCTTTAAAAATTGAAAGACAATCACACCTAATATGGATGTCTGGTAATATTTCAAGTTTTCAATTCATTTGGTAACATAGACAGGTACAATCGGCATCATTCAATTACATATATAAAACACCATTATTATTGCTTTCACTGAGTCATGCTCCAAAAGGAACAGGTAAAATAATGAAAATATACACACATTTCTAAATAGAAACAATGACATTCACATTTCTAAATACAATTACATTTCTGAATAGAAATAGAGTACATTGCGAAATCAAAATTCCAATACCAGGGCTACTTTTAATACATAAGCAATAACTTTTATGCTCTAGACTTGAGAGTCTTCTTTTATTTACTTTTTAAGTAACATTTTAAACCAGTTGCAAAAGCATGCCTCATCTCTTGAACCTTGAATTGTCATAAACTTAATACAAAAAATTCATGAAGTACATGCAGACATTTGCAAATAAGTTTTCAAAAACACACTTGCTTTCTTAGACATTTATATTTGTTATAAAATAAGGAATTAACATTTGTTTCAAAAACTACTTAGTTATTCAAAATAGCTCAGTTGGTTGAAATATTCACATGACAAATGAATATTTGTGTCCTCCTTATCATTGAACAATAAGCATGATAATACCCAAGATTTCTTTCTTGATCAATATTAATTTGTAGAATTACCTCTAACAGCATGTCAGAGAGAAAGAAAGAAAGAAAGAAGTGAAATTACTCCCATTTCAGTTAAATAAGAACTTTATTGCAGTGTTAGTTAAGAACTAGAAATAAATCGAGATCACCATCATTTTTAATAGTAATGCACAAAACATAGAAAATAAGTCTTCTAATTTATTCATTCCCATAAATTGCAGAATCACAATAGCGTGTCTATCACATGTATTATTTCCTAATAGTTATTATTGGTTAAATTTTAGTAATAATATTCTCATAATGAAAGAAAAAATACAATCAAATTCACATGCTTACTGACAAAATACAAATTACAAGAATACTCAAACACAGCAATTTCCCATTAAAGGTTCAATGTATGTTAGGAAATGTTCATACTTTCTTTAATGAAGTGATAGTAAATAGCACACAAAACAAGCTAAATGTTTTGTGCAATACATAATAAATATGCAATATCAAAAAATTATCCCCCAAATGTGAAATATTTTGCTCTTGAGTGTTGAATCAATTCTTGTGAAGCTACTAGCTTTCATCAAGATGTGATAATTTATTTCACAGCTGGTTTCTGACTCAATGGAACTGCAATATCCTAGCTTCATAAATCTACAGTTCATGTACTTCAATGAATTTCTCTTGCAACACATTAACTTTAATTTATGAAATTAAAATCCGGTATGCTCCCACCCTACTTGCCCATATTCAAACCACCAATAGATCTTTAAAAAATAGTGATGCTTAACAAAAGCATGATGAGATCTATGTACTAATATCATTTTCATTATAATTATAAATTGCGAGTCACTTGCAAAACATTTTCTTGGTTAATTTGCTTATTCAGTGATCTCCTCACCTTCATGAACAGGAGCTGATTGTAGAGTAAAATTGACCCATGTTGGATGATCCTCTACCACAGAAATATTCACTGGTGCACTTGTTTCATAACCCCATGCAGTAACATATACACTGTAGGAACCAGGCAGAAGTAGCCGCCAAAATTCACCACGAGCCGTAGTAGTTACATTGTGATTCAAATTTTGCACTACCACTTCTGCTCTTTCAATAGGATTCCCATTAACATCTGACACAATACCTACAAGAAAGAACACATTAGAGCAATTGCTTCACATTAAATAACAATATATTTAATTTTTACAAAATGCAAGATATTCACTTGAAATTACGTGTATTTGATCAATGCTGAATTTTTATTAAGACTTTTGTGGCAGTTTGAAACGCAATTTTAAGATAATCAAAGAATTAAAATATCAGGTCAAATCGTAAACAAAGGAGAACTGGAGAGTTCTCAAATATCGGGTCAAATCGTAAATAACAAATATGAGTCATTATTGCAACTAAAAATTAGTTCAATTTCCAGAGAAACATTTTCAACTTTAATTATTTTACCTGGTAATACACAGAACTTTTTAATCAGGTAACCATTTAACCTGATATTTTGAAAGTAGATTTTTACTTCATATTTTGAGAATTAAGATTTTGATACTTTCACAACATTCACTGATTATTATAAGTACATCATTACCTTTAATGCCTAGATGTGTAGCTTCAAGATAAAGCAACATTGGTTCCTTATTGCTATTCCATTCCATGGGCAAAGCAGATGCACTAGGAAACTTACAGCAACTCAGCTCAAACGTAATTTCTAAACAGTTTGAGTGTACGTAGTTGAAATCCTGCATTCCTCCTACAAAAAAAAGTTCACGTTATAAGAATGTCCTTTCGAAACCTACTGAAAGACAGATCCATGATGAACAAAAAGAATGTTTGAAAAGTACAGTAGTTATAATTACTAAAAAATATGTTTGTTCTAAAACAATTCAGAAAAACATAAAAATGCAAATCAGAGAGAGAGAGAGAGAGAGAAGAGAGAGACTTTTCACTTTAGATGTGAGAATTCAAGTTGAATACAACATTACATTCTGAAATTCAATCCATTAGTTGTTTCATGGAAATTCTCAAAATAACAAATTGATAAATTTGTGTACAAAAAACTTACCTTTTACTTCATACCATTGAGCTCCGTTAGTAATCCCACCAGGGAAATGATCAGTAGGACAAATGCTTCCATTGTGCATGAATGGATGTGCATTGGAATAGGAAGTGGCAAGATGACGAAACAAATCATTGTCTGGAGAGGGACTCTCATGACAACAATCCTCTTCAGAATTTTCTCTCCTAAGAAAAATACATAGACATCACTATATATACTCTTACGAAATAAAATAGATAAAATTCCAAAGAAACTGGTCACTGCAATTACATCATTTGACAGCTACAAAATAGCTTTAATTTTTTTAAGGTGTTAAAAGTATCTTTCAAAATTTTCAACTATTTAGAACAGTATGAAAACTACCTTTTTAAGTAAATGTTTTGGCACAATAATCTGAAATGGAATCACTGGACCAAAATACATATTGATATAAACTATGTAACTGATTTTCTTAATAAATTCTATCCTAAGTGATGTGATGGAAACTTACCATAAAACTAAAATTTACGTTAAAAGGTACTATTTTTTTCAGAACTTACCCTGAATCATCAAAGGGGTAACTTGCCACAACAGCTCCACCATGAAGGTTTCCTGACAAGACAAAAGGATTAGAAACTATCCATGTCATAACTGCAGCAGTTTCTGGCTGACGGCCTTGTAAAAGATCAGCCCCAGGAGCATAATTATCAAACTGGTCAGGGAAGTCTCTGTTGAGGTCCTTATGGTTAGCATTTTCCCTGCCTTCAAAATTGGGAAGGGAATCACATGTGCCTTCCTGTAAAAGTAAGTCTGTTCACTGGCCATTCACTAGTTTATGACTACTTATACACCGTGTTTATGACAAGCTCACAAAATGATGATGCCTTTTCAAAAACCACATTACACCAATTTATTAGGGGGAAAATGATTTACTTAATACTCACCGAAGAAGCTTCGAAACCATCGGGATTCATGGATGGCATGAGAAATATGTCAGTTGTATTTACGAGTCGTGTAACCCGTTCATTGGTACCATAGTTTTTCAAAAGATATTGAGCCAAATACACCATCAACTCTCTGCCCACTGTCTCGTCACCGTGCATGTTGGCCACAAATTTAAACATAGGCTCGCCCAAACTTCGTTGATTAACATTTTCACTGATCTCTAGGGCCCACAAATCTCTGTTTTGAACGGATTTCCCAACTGAATGTAATTTTGCAAAATCCGGATACTCTTGCACCATATTTCGAAGCAAAGATGTCAATTCTTCATGATCGTGGTAACGTGGATTGCTGAGAAATTCTTCATTTTCTAACTTCCGACTGATCGACGCGCAATTTAGTAAGTAGAAATAAGAAACAAATATAAAACATGTTGTTAAAGAAGGGAACACTTTACCCGTCCCCATACTTCCCGTAACAACTAGTTCAATGAGTAGTCCTTGTCACTTTTGTCATTGGGCACCCTGCGGTCGACAGTAGCTCGCTGCTCACGCAGTGTTCTCTCCAGTTCTCTCCTCTCCGCCCCCGCTTCCACACTTCCTCCTTCTATCTCTTTCTTTCTTTCTCTCTCTCGCTCTCTCTCTCTCTCGTGTGCGAGTTTCTGGTCTGTTTAAACTCGATTGCCGCCTGAAGTCGACTTAAACACTCGATATAAACTATCGACAATACTGACGTAGTTACGCTGCTGCGCGTCACTTACAATTTTTTCTGTGAAAATATTTAAAAAGAATTATTTCGCATGGAAAAAAATGTCTCGATACCAACTTGTTAGTTAAATTTGCATCAATTATTCGATAATCTGGGCCAAATACACAAAAAGTAATCGCTGGGAACCTCCAAGTCAATTTTGTTACCAATATCAGTCGTTTAAAAATCTTACCAGTCGTTTAAAAATTGTTTTTAAAGGTTCTGTTCTAAATTGGTTTTTACTGTGACTACGTTTAGCAGCACATTATTTAAAAACGTAATTACAAAGTCGGAGGTGGCACATTTATGCTACTAAAAGAAAGAAAACGACTATATTAAATACAATATTTGATAACAATCAAATTTGAAGAAAATAAATACCTATAAGACACAGAATGCCATTTCATTCGGATTGTACTGTATGGTCGATAGAAAAAAAAACGCTGCACCAGAAAACACACACGTCCATGTGTATCACGTGAAAGGGGGAAACCAGACAAACAATATCCATGGAATGTAATTTATGGGGTTCCCCCGTCGCCCGACCACAGAGAACACAGCTCTAGCGAGACAGTTGCTGGTCAGTGGCGGGAATTAGCGGGCAGCTTTTCAAGATAAACGCAGTGAGTGCTGAGAAAGCAATGTATTTTTGCGAACTTTGTTAGTTTATAAGCTTTAAATATCACAATTTCCAACTTAAAGTCTTCGCTAAGAATCTGATCAGATCATCTGACATTTTACTTTATTTTCACCTACAACTTGTAGAGCATATGTCGAAATACATAGTTAGTCATAAATAATTACCATCCATTTATTATTGACGAGTCTGTTTTCGTAAATTATAGAAACAAATACTACGGTTTAAATACCAATAAGTCATTAAAATTTATTTCCAACTTACTTATAAATCTTCGCAACAAAGCAATTTATGTTTGCGTAGGATTATTATTGACAGTATTTTTAAAAAAAGTGAGAAGAACATCTAAGATTGCATTTCAAGGGCGTTCCATCTTTATAGTTTACGATGAACTTAATCGATACTAGTTTTTGAAATCAGACATCAAAATAATACTTAATTTTTTAAAACTTTTATTCCAATTATGCTGCCTTTTTTGTCATACATTTCTTTATTAACGTTATATAATGCGCAAAATGGTAAAAGTGTTTAAAAGTTTTTACATTATTTTTTCATATATTGCATTTTTGAAATGTTAACAACTCGTTTCAATCTCTCCATGCTCAATTTTTGGAATACATATATTAACTTTTGTTACATAAAAACATCGTTCATATTTGTTCGCTGAGGTGAAATATTAATAATTGCTATTACGTTATGTTCGAAAATCTCAAACATCTCCCAGTGGAAACGTTGTGAGCAGAGTCGTACATGGGTGATCGTACGACCATCCACCACAGCGTAAGAAATATACTTCGACTTCGTGCTGAAGTACAGTAAGTACTCCGAGTCATTCACTCAATGATCCGGTTCACCCCCATCCATTTTTTTCTTACACCTCAAGAAATTCTTGACCGGTCTACATTTACTACTATCACATCGACGAAGAGTTGCGTGCGGGTGTCAAACACTGGAACCTATCCCAGGCGGTAGATTTCTACGACACAGAGATACAAATATTGATCTTCGGTAAGACAAATATCTCAGTTTTCGTGGTGATGATGTGGAAAATAATGCAACGTGCTGTATCTGCTACAGTAAAGATTGTCCATGAAATTGTTTTCGTTTTGTTGAGCACTTAGTGAAACTTACTTTTTTCATGCGCCTTTTATAATTAGAGAGGAATTTAGTTGAGAGAGGATCGTCTTAATGAAACAATCATACCAATTGCATCTAACTACTTAATTTTAGTAGCAAAAATTGTGTAATGCTCACTGAAATTTTACTAGTTTTACGCAAAATGCAATTTGCATTGAAAACATATTGAGGACGGAACAGGCAACCAGGCCCAGAGGCGGATACAGGAGGGATGGGAAACACTGCTCCCCTCCCCAAAAGGCCTAGAGGAAACCCTTTTTTTATTAGCTAAAATTTATTTAAATATTTATTTGTTAGAATAATGTAATTATGTTCCTTAAGATATTGTGTAGTATCATATATACTCTATAAAATATACAATATAATAACAAATATGTTCTATTTCTATATTTAGCAAAAATGTATGATGGCCTCTCCCAAAATGATCGGCTGGATCCGCCCCTGACCAGGCCTAACCCTTGTAGTGGAAGAAGGCATCTTTTACGAAACGAAGGCACTAATTGATGGAATCTGATATGGCATTCCTCTGATGTTACCTCTGATATTGCCCATTAAAATCATCTATCGTTTAAAAATTCCGAGAAAAATTAAAATTAGTTTCTTAATATTTTTTGTATCTCCACTAAACTGTTAAATCGCCCAAGAAAACAATGAAAATAAAATTACCCCAAGTTTATTCACAACCAAAAACAATAGGAAGTTAAGAACTGTGCAGCGTATAGCAATCGACAGCTATCTCGACCATCAGCACATGCGCAGAAACTCACCCAAAATGAGCGCAACTCAAGGTGCGCATGCGCAGAAGAATGCGATATTGCTGACGCCTAATGTATGCTACGCTGTGCTTAAACCTCATAGAAATTGACTGAATGATTTGTGACTCCGGGCGCGTCAACTGCTAAGGTCATTAGTTCCGTAAGTGCAGTGCATGTTTTATCGCAGCCTGTGGCAGTGATCTTTTCCCGCTGGATAGAGAGATTCGATGCCGACCTACCCGTCGGCTGGCGAGTTTTTCCCAACCCGGTATCTCCCACTAGCGGGGCGCTACCCCAGCCGGAACAAGTTCTAATTTCCCGACTGTTCTCTTGGCATGTGTTGTAGAGTAAGGCATGCAAGTTTTAATGTATGTAAGTAAGGGGTAAGGATAGAACAATGAAGAGGAAGGAAAGATCGCGCGCGGTCTTTTATTATGGCCCGTTCGTTACGGTACTGCTTCGACATTCGCCTGGTGTTGATTCGAGAAACCAAGGAAAACTACCGATCAGAGCAGCCGCCCGCTAGAATTCTCCTCCAGTTAGCGGCTGAATGCGACTTAGCTACGTAATTAGTGCCGAAAACCCTGCCACCGTCGGGACTCCAACCCTACGACCTCCCGGTCAGAATCTCTGCAGTGATATCAATTGATGCTCTGAGATACCCAGCAGGTATACATGTGTATTTATTTGTCCTTTTTACAATTAGATTACATCGCCACTTAATGGCTTTGACGTGGTAGGTGCGAGACCATGAGCTACAATCCTAACTGCTAGATCGTCTTACATTTGTATTTATATCTCCAGCTTTTTTTATTTATTACACAAAGTTAACATGTTTTATATTTACATAAACTATTTCAAATCTATAAATTCATATCTACATCATTTACATCTTGTTTCATCCACCTCCTAGCCACATCTTTAGATTTATTGGGCGTTACCGTCCTTGGTTTGGGGAACCAGGTATGCGACATCGCAAATACAACGTCGATATTTCTAAACATCAGTGTTCAAAATTAAAACAGCGATGTTAATAAAACATCGCCCCATCGTCGAAGTTTTTAAAAAAGCTCACGCGGTGGCGGAGTGAGGGCTTTTATCGGAAGTCGCATTTATTATTTTTTATTGAGATTTAACTGGCAAAACAATATGTTTTTGTACGTTTTCTTCTTTGAATTTATTATTATACATTAAAAATTTGACCTTAAATAGCGGATGATTACATAAATTTCAAGTTAAACAAGTACAAAATATTTACATTTTAAAATTTGATACATGCAAACATTTATTGTATACGTTTCGGTTATGTAGTTGTGGACTTCATCAGGACAATATGTTGACAGTAGTTGTAGAGAACAGCTGGCTCTCAGTCGTACACTACGACTACGGTTAAGTTCAAAGTTCTGTGAAGGCTGCAACCACATGGTCGAAACGTAGGCAACTAATAAATGTTTGGCATGAATCAAATGTTTAAATGTAAATATTTTATACTTGTTTAATTTAGAATTTGTGCAATACTCTGCTAATTAAGGTGAATTTTTTGTGTATTATAATCAACTGGCAAAACACAGTCAAAACGTATCAAGATATTAAACAAAACTTATTATCTGAATGAATATTTAAGATCTGGAATCTGGCAAAAATTGTAATATTTGCTCAAAAACAAATTTTGGATTCGTGATTATTGGCATATACTGCAGGACCACTATGTGTGGCACTTCCTCAATCAAAAGAGCAAGTGCGTGTGCTCTCGACTAAGTTCTCGGAGGCATAAAAACACAACATTTACGTCATGCACCATTTTTCGTGTTATGTACCATTTTGTCGGAATTCGTATTGCGTAGACCAGGCCTGCTTTAGCACCGCGAGACCCGAACGGAGATATCGATCCCGCAGTAGTGCAGAGTAGAGTCCATAGAAAAATCCCCTTCGGTCAATGACCATCCGTCTCCCCATGTGAGACCAAATGAAATCGAGAAGCCCCGGTTTCCGAACGCATGTTGTCATAAGAGGAAGTTTCTCACAACTATGCGGGAAGTCGTATCCTACAGATATCCTCATCTCTGTCTGCTCAACTATCCGCTGGTAAGCATCCTTACTTTTAAAAAAAATTACTAGATTTGCTTTTCATTATTCGTGTTTTGTTTTGGACGTAGGAGTTCTTGCAACCCAATGAATCTAAGCGGGATCAGCATTTTGGAACACATTTATAAGAAGGATCGATGTTTAAAACTGATATTTTTGTAGAAACATCGATGTTTTGAAAACATCGACATCGATTTTTTTAGGGAGGGTTTGCACGCCTTAGGCACGCCTATTACTAGGGCGATTTTTCACGCCCTAGCGGGCAGCAATCGTCTACAATCTCGATCTTCTGCG